AAAACACACACACATACACACATATAAATAGCTTTATATTGGTTCATAAAGAACATAAATTTTGGAATCAGATGAATTAGATAACTTTATATTGGTTCATAAAGAATATACATTTTGGAATCACATGAATTAGGTTCTAATCTGGGCTTTGACACTTAATAGCTATATGACCTTAAGCAAGTTACTTTGTTTATCTGGTTCTAGTTTTCACTAACTCATTGAGACTATGTGGGCTATCAGAGCACACCCTCCTAAGTCTGGTCTAAAGAGTTTATTTATATAAACTTCTGAATAGTTAACAAGTTTCACGGATATGCTTTTTTCTTTCCAAAAATGTGCATGTGAAGCATCCATGCACATTTTGCTTCATTTAATATTGGGTTTTACATTGAGGAGAAGGAGGCAGTTGACATTTTTTGAACAATGAAATACTTTATTTTCCTATAATTCACTCAAGTAAGTCTAAGGAAACAATTCGCACTATCGGTTTTCAGTTTCAATTGTGTATGTCCTAATATTCAACCTGATTTTTTTTTTTTTTTAATTGAGGCAGAGTCTTGCTCTGTCGTTCAGGCTGGAGTGCAGTGGTGCAATTTTGGCCCACTGCAACCTCCACCTCCCAGGTTCAAGTGACTCTGCTGCCTCGGCATCTGAGTAGCTGGGATTACAGGCACCCACCACCACGTCTGGCTAATTTTTGAATTTTCAGTAGAAAAGCCGTTGCACTCCAGCCTGGGCAAAAAGAGCGAAACTCCACTCCAAAAAAACCAAAAACAATCAAACAAAAGAAACAGCCTTTTTTTTTTTTTTTTTTTCTGGAACAAGGAACTATGGAAAAACATAGCCTTTTCTAAGAATTATTATTATTATTGGTTTTTTGTTTTTGGAGACAGTCTTGCTCTGTCGCCCAGGCTGGGTGGAGTGTAATGGCACAATCTGGGCTCACTGCAATCTCTGCCTCCTAGGTTCAAGCAATTCTGCCTCAGCCTCCCAAGTAGCTGGGATTACAGGAACCCACCACCATGCCCGGCTAATTTTTGTATTTTTAGTAGAGACGGGGTTTTGCCATGTTAGCCAGGCTGGTCTCAAAATCCTGACCTCAGGTGATCTGCCTGCCTCAGCCTCCCAAAGTGCTGGGATTACAGGCATGAGCCACCACTCCTGGCCTATTTTTTTGTTTGTTTTTTTGTCTTTGTTTTTTTGAGACAGAGTCTCATTTCATTGCCAGGCTGGAGTGCAGTGGTGTAATCTCGGCTCACTGCAACCTCCACCTCCCACGTTCAAGTGATTCCTTGCCTCAGCCTCCTGAGTAGCTGGGAGTACAGGTGCATGCCACCATGCCCAGCTAATTTTTATAATTTTAATAGAGATGGGGTTTCACCATATTGGTCAGGCTGGTTTCAAACTTTTGACCTCAGGTGATCTACCTACCTCGGCCTCCCAAAATGTTGGGATTATAGGCGTGAGCCACCACACCCAGCCTAAAAAACTTACTGATGACTTATAGTCATTTATATATATTCCAACCTTCAAGAAGGACATATATTTTAAAAATTAAAAATTGGCCGGGTGCGGTGGCTCAAGCCTGTAATCCCAGCACTTTGGGAGGCCGAGGCGGGTGGATCACGAGGTCGAGAGATCGAGACCATCCTGGTCAACATGGTGAAACCCCGTCTCTACTACAGGTGCAAAAAATTAGCTGGGCATGGTGGCGTGTGCCTGTAATCCCAGCTACTTAGGAGGCTGAGGCAGGAGAATTGCCTGAGCCCAGGAGGCGGAGGTTGCGGTGAGCCGAGATCGCGCCATTGCACTCCAGCCTGGGTAACAAGAGCAAAACTCCGTCTCAAAAAAAAAAAAAAAAAATTAAAAATTGTTTGTTCTTTGTTTCATTTTAGGAAGATTTGTGAGTTCTTACAGCAGCATTTGGTATGAAAGGTTGAATGAAGAAAAAGGCATGAACTACGAAGGAAAAGTTGGGAATAGGCTGTAGCTGAATCTTACTCTGCATAGAGTCATTTGATAGACATAGGGTACTTCTGGAGGTCAAGCATGGTATACCATTCAGACTGTTTGGTTCTCTGGGTATTTTATGAGAGCATTAGAATAAAATTGGTTTACTGAGTATGTGTGTGTGGAGGAAAAGAAAAAAGAATAACATTGGGATATCTCACTACCTCCATCCCCATCCCCACTCCCATAGTCATCATCCGAAAGCTTTAATTAAAATAGTTTATAAGCAGGGCTTGGTGGCTCACGCCTGTAATCCCAACACTTTGGGGGGCTGAGGCAGGTGGATCACTTGAGGTCAGGAGTTTGAGACCAGCCTGGCCAATGTGGCAAAACCCTGTCTGTACTAAAAATACAAAAAAATTAGCCAGCCGTGGTGGCAGGTGCCTGTAATCCCAGCTACTTGGGAGGCCGAGACAGGAGAATCATGAACCTGAGAGGCAGAGGTTGCAGTGAGCTGAGATCGCACTACTGCACTCTGCCTGGGCAACAGAGTGAGACTATCTCGAAAAAACAAAATGGTCTGCAGCTTGAGGATGAATTACTTACTATGCAAGTCATTCATCTTTTTAAGGAATATCTGAAATTTAAATATATAAACCAGTTAAATGACCTAATCACATCAAAAAAGGATTCTCTGCTCTGTGGAAGGATTTTCTTTAAGGAATGGTAAATAGGAGTTTCCTTAAGTATTTTGCAGATAATTAACTTTTTTCTTTTAATTAAAAAAAAAAAAAAAGTCCAGGCACAGTGGCTCACTCCTGTAATCCCAGCACTTTGGGAGGCTGAGGTGGGCAGGTCATGAAGTCAGGAGATTGAGACCATCCTGGCTAACATGGTGAAACGTCGTCTCTTCTAAAAATACAAAAAAATTAGCCAGGCGTGGTGGCATGTGCCTGTAATCCCAGCTACTCGGGAGGCTGAGGCAGGAGAATCACTTGAATCTGGGAGGCGGAGGTTGCAGTGAGCCAAGATCACACCACTGCACTCCAGCCTGGGTGACAGAGCCAGACTCCATCTCAAATTAAAAAAAAAAAAAAAAAAAGATGAGGTCTTCCTGTGTTGCCCAGGCTGGGCTCAAAGTACTGGGCTCAAGCAGTTCTCCTACCTCAGTCTCCCAAAATGCAGGGACTACAGTTGTGAGCCACCCTGCTTGGCCTGATAACTGACTCTTTTTTTTTTTTTTTTTTGAGACGGAGTTTTGCTCTTGTTACCCAAGCTGGAGTGCAGTGGCACGATCTTGGCTCACCGCAACCTCTGCCTCCTGGGTTCAGGCAATTCTCCTGTCTCAGCCTCCTGAGTAGCTAGGATTACAGGCACGCACCACCATGCCCAGCTAATTTTTTTGTATTTTTAGTAGAGACGGGGTTTCACCTTGTTGACCAAGATGGTCTTGATCTCTTGACCTTGTGATCCACCCACCTCGGCCTCCCAAAGTGCTGGGATTACAGGCTTGAGCCACCGCGCCCGGCCCACTGACTCTCTTTTTTAGGGGGGCAGATACATAGTCTCTGTCACCCAGGCTGGAGTGCAGTGGCACAATCTCTGCTCACTGCAACCTCTGCCTCCTGGGTGCAAGGGATTCTCCACCTCAGCCTCCCGAGTAGCTGGAACTACAGGCACCTGCCACCATACCTGGCTAATTGTTCCGTATTTTGTAGTAGAGATGGGATTTCACCATGTTGGCCAGAACTCCTGACCTCAGTTGATCTGCCTGCCTCGGCCTACCAGAGTGCTGGGGTTACAGGCATTAGCCACTGTGCCTGGCTAATTTTTTGTATTTTTAGTAGAGACAAGGTTTAACCATCTTAGCCAGGATGGTCTCAGTCTCCTGACCTTGTGATCTGCCCACCTCAGCCTCCCAAAGTGCTGGGATTATAGGCATGAGCCACTGCGCCTGGCCCATTTTTTTCTCTTTTGAAATATCCCTGTTTTCTTTTCTTTTCCTTTTTTTTTTTTTTTTTTCTTGAGATGGAGCCTTGCTCTGTCACCTAGGCTAGAGTGCAGTGGCACAATCTCAGCTCACTGCAACCTCTGCCTCAGGAGTTCAAGCAATTCTGCGTCAGCCTCCCAAGCAGCTGGGATTACAGGTGCTCGCCACCACGTCTGGCTAATTTTTGTATTTTTAGTAGAGACAGGGTTTTACCATGTTGGTCAGGCTAGTCTTGAACTCCTGACCTCAGGTGACCTGCCCATCTCGGCCTCCCAAAGTGCTGGAATTACAACCGTGAGCTACCATGTCGAGCCATTTTAGACTTTCAAGATACTTCTTGAAAAAAAAAGGGTTCCAATATCAAATATGTTGGGGAAACAGCATATCTGGTTTTTTTGTTTGTTTTTTGAGCCATGTCTCACTCTGTCACCTAGGCTGGAATGTAGTGGCTCCATCTTGGCTCACTGCAACCTCCGCCTCCCAAGCTCAAGCTATTCTCATGCCTCAGCCTCCAAAGTAGCTGTGACCACAGGCGTATGCTACCATGCCTGACTAATTTTTGTCCTTTTAGCAGAGACAGGATTTTGCCATGTTGGCCAGCCTGGTCTTGAACTCCTGGCCTCAAGCAATTCACCCATCTTGGCCTTCCAAAGTGCTGGGATTACAGGTGTGAGCCACCATGGCAAGACGAAACAATGTTATCTTATACCCTGTTGGGGAATCATAATGCTTATTAGCCGGTGAAGTATATGATACTTCCTACAAAACAAGCAAATTTAAGCATATTTAAACCAGAATTTTGAAAACATATTTATACATAGAACCAATCTTTAGTGAAAGTTATTAACACCTCAATGAACATATTTTATAAAATAGTTTTAATGTATTCTCTATTTTCTTTTCTCCTCTGACTTAGCTTATGCAAACTGTTGAATCTCACTTTTTTTTTTTCAAATTTTCCTCTTCCTGAATGTTGTCAGGTTCAAGGAGGTTGAAATTGCTATACTGCTATTTTTTTAAAAAAAATCTCAAATTTTAAATTTACTTTTGTCATCTCTAGCTAATTCAGAGAAAATTATAGAGAGAAATTCTGTTGACTCATCAATCCAGCAAGTAACGGGGAATGGAGGCCAGAGGGTCATCACCATAGTGACAGATGGAGTCCCTTTGGGTATCTCTACTGGAGGCATTGGCCAGCCATTTATTGTAACTATGCAAGATGGACAGCAAGGTGAGTTACCTGTTGTAGACAATTGTTTATTAAAAGATATATTAGATACTCCATACCCCTCTAAAAATGAGGCATAAGACGAATAGTGGGAGTGGGAGACTACCAGATGCATGTTGGGGCAAAGAAGCTCTGAAAAAGAAAAAGAAACAGAACCAGGCTGGCAAAGGTAATAGCCTAATATGTATAAAATCTGTAGTAAAAACCAGTTTATCTGCTGGGAAAAAGAACAAATAATATGAACCAGTAGTTCACAGAAAAAAAAAATGTATCGATGGCTCTTAAAAATATGAAAATAGGCCTGGTGAAGTGGCTAACAACTGTAATCCCAGCACTTTGGCAGGCTGAGGCAGGCGGATCACTTGAGGTCAGGAGTTCAAGACCAGCCTAGCCAACATGACGAGACCCCATCTCTACTAAAAATATAAAAAGTAGCCAGGCACGGTGGCACATGCCTGTAGTCTCAGCTACTCAGGAGACTGAAATAGAAGGATCACTTGAGCCCAGGAGGTTGAGGCTGTAGTGAGCCATGATTGTGCCACTGCATACCATACCAGCCTGGGTGACAGAGTGAGACTCTGTCTCAAAAAAAAAAAAAAAAGGAAATAAAGAAAAAGAAAATATATGTAATCCCAGCACTTTAGGAGGCCAAGGTGGGTGGATCATAAGGTCAAGAGATCAAGACCAACCTGGCCAACATGGTAAAACCCTGTCTCTACTAAAAATACAAAAATTAGCTGGGCATGGTGGCGAGTGCCTGTAATCCCAGGTACTCGGGAGGCTGAGGCAGGAGAATCACTTGAACCCAGGAGGTGGAGGATGCAGTGCACCAAGATTACGCCACTGCACTCCAACGTGACGACAGTGAGACTCTGTCTCAAAAAAAAAAAAGAGAAAGAAAATATATTCAAACTACTTCATTCATAACAAGAGAAGCGGATATAAATACTGCACTGAGATACCATTATAACACTATGTTGTTAAAAGTGTAGGGAAACAAGCACTCTTATAAATCACTTGTGAGGGTACAAATTAATGGATCCTCTAAAAAGGATATTGGCAATATCCGTAGGTATTAGATGTACATAAAGATATATCTTTGGGTTTTTTGGTTTGTTTGAGATGGAGTCCCTCTCTGTTGCCCACACTAGAGTGTGGTGGTAGGATCTTGGCTTACTGCAGCCTCCACGTACCTGGTTCAAGCAATGCTTGTGCCTTAGCCTCCTAAGTAGCTGGGACTATAGGTGCACACCACCATGGCCAGTTAATTTTTGTGTTTGTTTGTTTTTTTTTTTTTTTTTTTTTTTTTTTGAGACGGAGTTTCGATCTTGTTACCCAGGCTGGAGTGCAATGGCACGATCTCGGCTCACTGCAACCTCCGCCTCCTGGGTTCAGGCAATTCTCCTGCCTCGGCCTCCTGAGTAGCTCGGATTACAGGCATCTGCCACCATGCCCAGCTACTTTTTTTTGTATTTTTAGTAGAGACGGGGTTTCACCATGTTGACCAGGATGGTCTTGATCTCTTGACCTCGTGATCCACCCACCTTGGCCTCCCAAAGTGCTGGGATTACAGGCTTGAGCCACCGCGCCTGGCCAATTTTTGTGTATTTTTAATAGAGACAGGGTTTCACCATGTTAGCCAGGCTGGTCTCAAAACTCCTGACCTGAAGTGATCCTCTGGCCTCCGCCTCCCAAAGCGCTGGGATTATAGCCATGAGCCATCACACCTGGTCAAGATATACCTTTTGGTTAAACAGTTATTTTTTCTTGTTTGTGTGTGTAACTGGGTCTTGTTCTGTTACCTGGGCTTGTATGCAGTGGTGTGATCTTGGCTCACTGCAGGCTCGACCTCCTGGGCTCAAGCTATCCTCCCACCTCAGCCTGAGTAGCTGGGGCTACAGTTGCATGCCACCATGGCCCGCTGTATTCAGACTGAGGCTATATATTAGTATACTGAGGCATAACATTAGTTGCTTCCAGGGAGGGCAACTGGGTATTAAGGATGGGTAGGAGGCTTTTCAATGTATATGCTTTTGTAACCTTGAGTTTTTTAATTATTTAATGTATTGGTTATTCAAAAAAGACATAATTAAAATTTTTTGAAAAGAGGAAGCCCATCACTACAACTCCATGCCTTAAAAATATTGGAGGTTGAGCTGGGCGCGGTGGCTCAAGCCTGTAATCCCAGCACTTTGGGAGGCCGAGGCGGGTGGATCACGAGATCAAGAGATCGAGACCATCCTGGTCAACAAGGTGAAACCCCGTCTCTACTAAAAATACAAAACATTAGCTGGGCATGGTGGCGTGTGCCTGTAATCCCAACTACTCAGGAGGCTGAGGCAGGAGAATTTCCTGGACCCAGGAGGCGGAGGTTGCGGTGAGCCGAGATCGCGCCATTGCACTCCAGCCTGGGTAACAAGAGCGAAACTCCATCTCAAAAAAAAAAAAAAAAAAAAAATTTACAATCCAAACTTTGGTATTATAAATCCTAATTTATGTATTGCTAATATTTTTGTGAACATAGTTGTCAAAAATTTTAAGTTTTTTGGTCTCACCGTGTTAGCCAGGATGGTTTTCAATTAGCAATAATCGCGCCTCGGATAAACCTCATTGGCTACGATACTGCCACTGCGCAAAGCTAGCCAGGATGGTTTTGATCTCCTGACCTCATGATCCACCCACCTCCGCCTCCCAGAGTGCTGGGATTACAGGCATGAGCCATCATGCCTGGTTGGTATTATTACCTTTATTTTTTGAGATGGAGTCTAACTCTGTTGCCCAGGCTGGAGTGCAGTGGCATGATCTCTGCTCACCACAACCTCCACCTCCTGGGTTCAAGCGATTCTTCTGCCTCAGCCTCCTGAGTAGCTGGCACTACAGGCGTGTGCCACCGCACCTGGCTAATTTTTGTATTTTTAGTAGAGACTGGGTTTTGACATGGCCAGGCTGGTCTCGAACTCCTGACCTTGTGATCCACCCACCTCAGCCTCCCGAAGTGCTGGGATTACAGGCATGAGCCACTGTGCCCAGCTGGTATTACCACTTTTTAAAAAACTTTTAGGCCGGGCACGGTGGCTCACGCCTGTAATACCAGCACTTTGGGAGGCTGAGGCGGGCGGATCACTTTAGGTCAGGAGTTTGAGACAAATATGGAGAAACTCTGTCTTTAAAAAAAAAAAAACTTTTAGCTGCGCACAAGCGTGCCTATAATTCCAGCTGCTCGGGAGGCTGAGGCAGGTGAATCACTTGAACCTGAGAGGCAGACGTTGTGGTAAGCCACGATCGCGCCATTGTACTTCAGCCTGGGCAATAAGAGCAGAACTCTGACTCAAAAAAAAAAATATTTTAGCCATTCAGACAGATGTGTAGTATGTCATGTGTGTTGTGTGTGTGCTGATCCTTCTCTCACTTATCTATGAGAAGAGAATTAATTTAAGTACAGATAATGGCTAATGACTTTTATTAGAGGTCTCAAAATATATAAGGACTTCAGGCCTTCTTTTGACAGATCATTTCTGCAGGGTTTTTTTTTTTTTTTTTTCCAGACAGGGTCTCACTCTATCATCCAGGCTAGAGTGCAGTGGTGAGATCTTGGCTCACTACAGCCTCAACTTCCCAAGCTCAGGTGATCCTCACACTTCAGCCTCCCAAGTAGCTGGAATTATAGGCACGCTCCACCATGCCTGGCTAATTTTTTGTATTTTTTTTGTAGAGTTGGTGTTTGCCATGTTGCCCAAGGTGATCAACATGGGCTCAAGTGATCCTCCAACCTTGGCCTCTCAAAGTGCTAGAATTATAGGTGTGAGCCACCTTGCCCTGCCATTTCTGGGCGAATTGATAAGCTAATTGGCCATAGCTGACCTAGAGTCAGACACCTCTATATAAGAGCCTCATGCTTGGGACTTACTTGCATGGTTTCCAAGACTGCAAATCTATACCCTTCCTTTTTGAGCCGTTCTTAGTGCTCTATTAATCCTTTTTGTTTCTCCCTGAAGGGCCATGCCTTACCTGTTGATTCTAAAATTGAAAGAGATGTGAAAAATAATATATCAGAATATATTTTACTTTCTCTCTCTTTGCTTTTTTGTTGAGATGGGGTCTTGCTGTGTTGTGTAGGCTAGTCTCAAACTCGTGGGCTCAAGAAGTCCTCCAGCCTTAACTGCCTGAGTAGCTAGGACTACAGGCACCCACCACTGCACCCAACCTAGAATATAGTTTAGTTTATTTTCTAATTAAAAGCAAGGAAAACGTCTTTGTTTTATGTATTCATCATCTCCAATTGATGTCTTTTGGCTTGTAGTTCTAACTGTACCTGCTGGTCAGGTTGCAGAGGAGACTGTAATTGAAGAGGAAGTAGAAGAGAACTTGCCACTAACAAAGAAACCCAGGATAGAAGAAATGACAAACAGTGTGGAGGAAAGCAAGGTAATGTTTTTAGGAGTGATGAGAAGAATTAAAAGCCACATTTCTTTTTTTTTTTTTTTTTTTTTGAGACGGAGTTTCGCTCGTTACCCGGGCTGGAGTGCAATGGCACGATCTCGGCTCACCGCAACCTCCGCCTCCTGGGTTCAGGCAATTCTCCTGCCTCAGCCTCCTGAGTAGCTGGGATTACAGGCACTCGCCACCATGCCCAGCTAATTTTTTGTATTTTTAGTAGAGACGGGGTTTCACCATGTTGACCAGGATGGTCTCGATCTCTTGACCTCGTGATCCACCCGCCTCGGCCTCCCAAAGTGCTGGGATTACAGGCTTGAGCCACCGCGCCCGGCCGTAAAAACCATATTTCTTAAGGCCTGAACCCTTCTTCATCTTTTTTATTCCTTTTGAGACAGTCTTTCACTCTGTTGCCCAGGCTGGAGTACAGTGGCACGATCTCAGCTCAGTGTAACCTCTGCATCCCAGGCTCAAGCGATTCTCCTACCTCAGACTCCTGAGTAGCTGGGATTACAGGCAACTGCCACCACGCCTGGCTAATTTCTGTATTTTTATTAGAGATGGGGTTTCACCACGTTGGCCAAACTGGTCTCAAAAATCCTGACCTCAGGTAATCCACCTGCCTCCAATTCCCAAAGTGCTGGGATTATAGGCGTGAGCCACCTCAGCTGGCCCATCTTTCTGTCTACTATCTGCATAATTTATGATCAGGAATTTACCTGGTGGTGACATGGCTTACTTTGACAGGAAGGCAATGAAAGAGAGCTACTACAGCAACAACTCCAGGAAGCCAATCGAAGAGCCCAGGAATACCGACACCAGCTCCTACAGAAAGAGCAGGAAGCAGAACAGTACCGTCTCAAGCTGGAGGCCATAGCCCGACAGCAGCGCAATGGAGTTGATTTCACCATGGTTGAAGAGGTTTCTGAGGTAGATGCTGCAGTCGTTACAGAGGGGGAAGAGAAAAAGACAAAAGTGACTGGGTCAGCAGGGACCAAAGAGCCTCACACTGGAGTTTCCATGGAAACGATTTCACCTTAATATGCAAGGGCCACAGTTTGCACTGTGTTCATAATACTCCTCTTTTAAAAAATGAAAACATATAGAAGACAAACATTGTATAAAAAAAATAAGTGTCTTTAAGAAGAAAACTATAGCAGGATACAATGCTTGGGCTCAGGAAGGTTCTCTGTGCAACTGGAAAATTCAAAGCCATATTTAGGGAACATTTCTTCCAAGGGGCCAAAAGAATATGGACCAAATGTCTTAGATCACATCATTGCTTTAAGCATAGAGGTAAAAGAATACTGGCTGGGCGCTGTGGCTCACGCCTGTAATCCCAGCAATTTGGGAGGCCAAGGTGGGCGGATCACAAGGTCAGATCTCACTGCAACCTCTGCTTCCCGGGTTCAAAAGATTCTCCTGCCTCAGCCTCCTGAGTAGCTGAGATTACAGGCATGTGCCACGAGGCCCAGCTAATTTTGTATTCTTAGTAGAGACGAGGTTTCTCCATGTGGTCAGTCTGGTCTCGAACTCCTGACCTCAGGCCTTCCAAAGTGCTGGGATTACAGGTGTGAGCCACCGTGCCCAGCCTAGACTCTAATTTTATAAAACTTTTTTGAATTTTCTAAGTGTCATTTAGGACATATTATGCTTTTCTGTGGCACTTAACATCTTACCCTCTTTTGTGCAAACAAAAGGTGGGTTGGAGGTAAATCCTGATGATGTTGTTTAGTTTTACTTCCATTTGATCTGACATGAGGAAATTGCTCTGTTTCCTTAAGCTGGGGTCTAGTACAGAGCTTTGTGCCTTATAGGGTGCTCAGTGTGTGTTGACAAAGGGAGTAAGAACTATCAGTGCCATAAAATAAAGAACCAAAGATTCTGGCTACTTTGTTTTCCTCCTTTCTCTCCCACTGTGCCTACACTTCCTCTGCCCAGATGCTTTTGGAAAGTGTTTAACTGCTGGGTTTTCTTTGTATGTCAGCATGGAGGAATGGAGTTTTTCCCCAAAGAAAGGGAATATGGATGGAGAGAGAGAGGTTATGGACAGGTTCCATTACAGAAGTTATTGCCTTTGAAATTGGGCCCTCATCATTCTAGACTTGCTTGCTTTGTTATAAATTAAAAGAAGAAACCAGTGGGAGATGTGCCAAGTAAACATTTGCATGACTGTTTAGAATATGGTTTTCTTAATTAGCAATCACGGGGAAAACATGCGTTTTTCATTTGGAAAAAAATACTGATAGTTAACATGGTTCTGTTATCTTGATTAGTGAAATAATTTGCTGCAGTGTTCCAGAGGAGCAGAATCATTTGGGTCTCAAAATAGACTGAAAACTTAACTCCCCAGACCAAATTTAACAAATAGAATTGGTTATTAGAGATTTATAGGCGAAAATATCAGTTTGGAAATTAACCTTGGCTACTGGCCACCTTAGCTAGGTTTTCTCCATGGATCTGAGTACTGAACACTTCCCAGATGATGGAGAATATTCTGGGCTGTTGAGGATGACAGGGAAATGTAAGGGGGAGTAGCCTAGGTAAGGGTGATGAAGAAATTGTTCTGTCTGCTATCAGTCTTTTCATCTTTGCAATGTTTTTATTTTTTCTGAGTCCCTTTGGGAACCAGGTGCTAACAAGAAGCTGTTAGGTGCAGGATTTCAGAGACTTACTTTAATGATAAAGGAACCAAGTGTCATTTTAGATGTCTTTTATTTATGTTTTTGGTGTACATGTTGACTTTAATCCCTCTTCCCTCCACCCCACCCATTAAGGGAGAGGAGGTTAATTCTGCAGATGATACTCAGGCCAAACCAGAGACTTAGTACACAGTCACCACTTTTGGGGGGGAATTTTTTTTTTTTTTTTTTTGAGACGGAGTTTCGTTCTTGTTGCCCAGGCTGGAGTGCAATGGCATGATCTCGGCTCACCGCAACCTCTGCCTCCCAGGTTCAAATGATTCTCTTGCCTCAGCCTCCCGAGTAGCTGGGATTACAGGTATGTACCACCATGCCCAGCTAATTTTGTATATTTAGTGGAGACAGGGTTACTCCATTATTGGTCAGGCTGGTCTCAAACTCCCACCCTCAGGTGATCTGCCTACCTTGGCCTCCCAAAGTGCTAAGATTACAAATGTGAGCTTTTTGCAGTGAGCCAAGATCATGCCACTGCACTCCAGCCTGGGTGACAGAGCAAGACTCTGTTTCAAAAAAAAAAAAAAAAAAAAAACTGGAAAAGAAAAAACACTTGTTTATGTGGGAGAAGTATATATAAAACGAAAATCTAGGCTGTTTCCACGGTGCTGGGAAGTGGCCACAAAGAGGCTCGTGGGGGCTCTGAAACTCTGGTCTTGAGATACACACTTTGTTCTGACCGAGGGAATTCTTTAGCAGATCTTACTGTTCTTTCTGCAGAAAATATCATTCCTACCTCCCTAACCCCCAAAATCTCTAATACAGGCCAAGTCATTTTTGTCGATGGGTCTCTGAGATAGGGGAGTTTGTTGGAGGAGAGGCTGGGGTAGGAAGAGAGAGAATGGAGGTATCTGAAAAAAAGTAAGAAAAAGGCATTCATTTTTATTTACTTGGAAATAACCTCTTGGCATCCCAGATAAGAGAAATAAGATTTGAGCTCCAATTGTATTGCCATGGAGAGAATGGCAAGTGAGGATGCTTTGAAGTAGTTAGAAATTAAATATTGAATACATTAATGGCAATACCATTTCATCATTTTGCGTATCTTTCTGGATTAGTCATGGAAGTTGGGGGAATAGTACTTAGATCTTCTGGGTTAGAGGATTCCAACTGGTTTACTGGCAAGGTTGGATTATTGAGAATCAAATAACACAAAAATGGCTGGGCATGGTGGCCCATGCCTATAATCCCAGCACTTTGGAAGGCTGAGGCATGTAGATCACCTGAGGTCAGGAGTTCGAGACCAGCCTGGCCAACCTGGCAAAACCCTGTCTCTATCAAAAATACAAAAATTAGTCGGGCGTCATGGTGCACGCCTGTATGTAGTCCCAGCTATTCTGGAGACTGGCGCAAGAGAATTGCTTGAACCCGGAAGGGAGAGTCTGCAGTGAGTTGAGATTGTGCCACTGCACTCCAGCCTGAGCAACAGAGCGAGACTCTGTCTCAAAAAAAGAAAAAAAAAAAAGCTGGACTTGGTGGCTCACGCTTATAATCCCAGCACTTTGGGAGGCTGAGGTGGGCAGATAACCTGAGGTCGGGAGTTAAAAACCAGCCTGACCAACATGGAGAAACTAAAAATACAAAAAATTGGCCAGGCATGGTGGCACTTGCCTGTAATCCCAGCTACTCAGGAGGCTGAGGCAGGAGAATTGCTTGAACCCGGGAGGCGGAGGTTGCGGTGAGCCGAGATCACACCAATCCACTCCAGCCTGAGCAACAAGAGTGAAACTCCATCTCAACAACAGCAACAGCAAAAAAGACATATGGATCAGAGTTGGTGCTTGAGCAGGAGAAACTTAGAGCTTAGGATGGTTGTCTACTTCAAAATAAAGCTGCTTTAGGAGCTGAGCATGTAATCCCAGCACCTTGGGAGGCTGAGGCAGGATGATCACTGAGGCCAGGAGTTGGAGACCAGCCTGACCAACAGAGCAAGACCTTGTCACTATAAAAAATTTAAAAAATTAGCCAGATGTGATTGCATGCACCTGTACTCCCAGCTACTCGGAAGGCTGAGGTGAGAAGATTGCTTGAGCCTGGGAAGTTGAGACTGTAGTGCAGGTGTCCCCAAACTTCTTACACAGGGGGCCAGTTCACTGTCCCTCAGACTGTTGGAGGGCCACCACATACTGTGCTCCTCTCACTGACCACCAATGAAAGAGGTGCCCCTTGCTGAAGTGCGGCGGGGGGCTGGATAAATGGCCTCAGGGGGCCACATGCGGCCCTCGGGCCGTAGTTTGGGGACGCCTGCTGTAGTGAGCCATGATTGTCCCACTGCACTCCAGCCTAGGCAACAGAACAATAAACACCTGTCTCAAAACAATAAAATACATAAAATGAAGCTGCTGGGCCAGGTGTGGTGGTTCACACCTGTAATCCCAGAACTTTGAGAGGCTGAGGTGGGTGGATCAGGAGGTCAGGAGATTGAGACCATCCTGGCCAACATGGTGAAACACAGTCTCTACTAAAAATACAAAAAATTAGCCAGGTGTGGTGGCACACACCTATAATCCCAGCTACTCGGGAGAGTGAGGCAGGAGACTCGTTTGAACCCAGGAGGCAGAGGTTGCAGTGAGCTGAGATCACGTCACTGCATTCCAGCCTGGGTGACAAGGTGAAACTCCATCTCAAAAAGAAAAAAAAAAAGCTGCTTTAGCAATATCAGTATTAATGGCAGGAATTTTAGATGCTACATTTTTTAGCCTTCAGCCTTTCTCCCCAGAATAGAAAGAAATAAATTTTAATACTTCTATTCTTGTTCCTAGCTTCAGGGAAATTAATTATAAATGTATAAGTGTGCCTTCCTTTCCCATTACTACCTTTATAGGATCTTCTAATGCTAATGCTAAAGTTGAGGTCTCTTAATTGAAATATGGGAGAATTTGGCTTTACGTTTTGTATGTGTGTGTTTTTTGTTTTGAGACAGAGATTCACTCTTGTTACCCAGGCTGGAGTGCAATGGCGCGATCTCGGCTCACCGCAACCTCCGCCTCCTGGGTTCAGGCAATTCTCCTGCCTCAGCCTCCTGAGTAGCTGGGATTACAGGCACACACCACCATGCCCAGCTATTTTTTGTATTTTTAGTAGAGACAGGGTTTCACCATGTTGACCAGGATGGTCTCGATCTCTTGACCTCGTGATCCACCCGCCTCGGCCTCCCAAAGTGCTGGGATTACAGGCGTGAGCCACCGCACCCGGCCATGTGTGTGTTTTTTTAAGACATGGCGTCTCAGTGTGTTATCCCGACTGAACTTAAACTCTTCCTGGGCTCAAGTGATCCCCTTTCCTCAGCTTCTTGAATAGCTGGGACTGTAGGCACTTGCCACCATACCCAGCTGGCTTTAGATTTTTTGTGTGTTTTTGAAAGGGAGTCTTGCTCTGTCACTCAGGCTGGAGTGCAGTGGTGCAATCTCAGCTCATTGCAACCTCTGCCTCCCGGGTTCAAGCAATTCTCCCGCCTCAACCTCCCAAGCAGCTAGGACTACAGGCGTGCGCCACTATACCCAGCTAATTTTTTTGTATTTTTAGTAGAGATGGTGTTTCACCATGTTGGCCAGGATGGTCTCGATCTCCTGACCTTGTGATCTGCCCACCTCAGCCTCCCAAAGTGCTGG